ATCACAAAGGAATGAGTCAAATTATTTAATACTTGAGATAACTGTTTGTATTTGATTTTTTGTTATTATAATATTCTTATAATACTCTTATCTTTTATGATTTTTTTTATACGAGGTGCAACAAAGTATCCCACCCCACCTAATGTTAAGTGTAAATGGAGTCCAGTCGGTATAGATAAGCAGTATTAATTTTTAGTATTAACTAACGACCCGCCCTTGCTTCGACTAGATTCATATAATAAACCTGATCTGTTCGTGGGAAAGCCACGCAGTAGCTTAGGCTACTGCATGAATGGGCCGACTCGACCAAAGGAATACCACGACCTCACAGAATACCGGCGTGAAGCAGTACTTTGTACTGAGTTTCGCCGAGTGAGTGAGGCTACCGGAGGCCCAACCCCCCCCTCCCCTTTCCTCATGATGGCGCAGTTAAATTAAATAGGATAATACCCCAGGGGGGTACCTGCTGTTTTCACGCTGGAGAATCCCCCTCTGGACGTCCATGCCCAGAACTGTCTCCTTCTGGACGTGGACGTCGAGGCTGCGGGCAGAACTGTCTCCTTCTGGACGTGGACGTCGAGGCGGGGGTACCTGCTGTTTTCACGCTGGAGAATCCCCCTCTGGACGTCCATGCCCAGAACTGTCTCCTTCTGGAAGTGGACGTCGAGGCTGCCCTTCGTATTCTGGGGAGGGCGAAACCGCGCTCATTACTGAAACTGCTCGAGGCCATAGCAAGCGTCATACGTCACCCCCCGCCATGTTTAACGTGGATTTCTGCAACATCAGGGGCTTACACTCCAACCTTAATGCTGTTCACTACCACCTTCAGACAGTGCAGCCGGCCTTGTTTTTTTTAACTGAGACGCAGATTTCCTCTCCAGCCGACACCTCCTACCTCCAGCACCCTGGGTATACTTTGGAACATTCCTTTATACCACGGGCTGGGGTGTGTGTGTACGTTAAAGAGGGTATCAGTTTCCTTCGCCTCAGCAACTTTGAAGGTAGGGACCTCTCCATCTTATGGTTGCGTGTAGACGTCGATGACCATCCCCGCGTCTACGCCTGCCTCTACAGGTCCCATAGCGGAAATACCGAAACTGACCGACTCTATGATCACGTCCAGGTGGCTACAGACTCCGTGCTTCAGCAGATCCCATCATCTGAAATTGTGATCCTTGGCGATTTCAATGCCCACCACTCCGAATGGCTTAGATCGCCCACTACCGATCATGCAGGCAGATCTGCTCACGACTTCGTATTGGCCTATGGTCTGACACAACAGGTCACACCTCGCCTACGCGAATCCCGGATGTCGAAGACCATACACCTTCACTGTTGGATCTTCTGCTGACTTCACATCCGGATAATGACAAAGTGTCCGTAGATGCCCCTCTTGGCTCCTCGGACCATTGTCTAATCCGGAGTATGGTACCACTCACTTACTCACCGCGGCCGCAATTTGCTGGCTGTCGTCGTGTGTGGCACTATAAGTCAGCAGACTGGGATGGGATGCGCACTTTCTTTTCATCCTACCCTTGGGGCCAGGTTTGCTTCTCGCAGAATGATCCCAACGTCGCTGCCGATTCTGTCGCCGATGTTGTTCTTCAGGGTATGGAACTTTTTGTTCCTTCCTCTGTGGTTCCCATTGGTGGCAAATCCCAGCCTTGGTTTGGTCACTACTGTAAACTGGCATCTCGCCAAAAACAGATATGTTATCAGGCCTGGGCAAACGCAGCGGCGGTCGGGGATAACAACACTAGCGATCTCAAAAAGAAGTATAACTTGGCCGCCAGGTCCTGCAAAAGAGTAATTGCCAGAGCGAAGTCAGAGCACATTAGCAGCATTGGCGAGAGATTAATAAAACTTCCCTCTGGAACACGCGCGTTTTGGTCTCTTGCCAAGGCTGTTGAAGGAAATTTTTGTAAGCCATCCCTTCCACCCCTGCACAATGGCGACGAATCGATGGCCCATACTGCAAAAGAGAAAGCGGATCTTTTATGCTCACTCTTTGCATCTAACTCGACTTTAAATGGGATACATACCGCCGACCATCCCGCGGTGTGAGAGCTCTATGTCGGAGATCCGGTTCACACAAAGCTTAGTGCGTAAAGCACTCTTTTCCCTTGTCATCCACAAGTCGAGCGGGCCTGATGGAATCTCACCAATTGTGCTGAAGACGTGTGCTCCTGAGTTGGCTCCGGTACTAACGCGTCTTTTCCGGCTCTCCTACTCTTTAGGTGTCGTTCCGAACTCATGGAAGACAGCTTTAGTGCACCCGATTCCTAAAAAAGGCGACCGCTCACTCCCCACTAATTATAGGCCTATAGCCATCACCTCCTTGTTCTCCAAGATAATGGAGTCTATTATAAATTGCCAGCTCCTGCGGTACCTAGAGGACCACCAGCTGATTAGTGACCACCGGTACGGTTTCCGTCAGAGTCGCTCGGCTGGTGATCTACTAGTATACCTGACTCACCGTTGGGCAAAGTTGGATCACTAGCTTTCTTGCGGACAGGAGCATTAAGGTCGCAGTCGACGGTGCATGCTCGGACTCCAAATCCGTAAACGCTGGTGTTCCACAAGGCTGTGTGCTATCGCCTACGCTGTTTCTTCTTCATATCAATGATATGCTTCAAATTGATGGCATTCATTGTTATGCAGACGACAGCACGGGTGATGCCCTATATACCGACCGCGCCAACATTTCACGGGAAAACGTCATCGAGTGCCGGAACAAACTTGTGTCTGAAGTCGAAACTTTGTTAAACCGAGTAACGAATTGGGGCCGACTTAATCTAGTCCAATTTAACCCTACGAAGACACAAGTATGCGCGTTCACCGCAAAAAAAAATACCATTTGTCGTATCTCCTCTTTTTGAGAACACTCCTCTAACTGCCTCAGCTTGTATTGGAATTCTTGGCGTTGACATATCGAGCGACGTAAAATTTCGGGATCATTTAGAGGGCAAGGCCAAATTGGCGTCTAAGAATCGTCGACGACCAGGACCTTTCCGATCAACTTGATCCTTTGGCTTTGCGTAGGGATGTAGCTTCGCTCTGCATCTTCTATCGCATTTATCACGGGGAGTGTTCTGAGGAATTGTACGGATTAATTCCAGCTGCTGCATTTCGCCATCGTACATCGCGACAAAAATTTCATCCCCATCATCTTGATGCGTGGCTATCCACAACCGTGCGTTTTTGTCGAAATTTTTTACCACGTACGACAAAACTGTGGAATATGTTGTCGCCAGCAGTGTTTCCGGACCGATACGACCCAAAAACCTTCAAAAAAAGAGCGTACTTCTTCCTTAAAGGCCGGCATCGCATTTGTGATACTCCTGGTGTTGCAAGTGTCGATGGGCGACGGTGATCACTTACCATCAGGTGAGGCTGCTCGTATGCCCCCCTATAACATAAAAACAAACCTGACCTTGCGTAAAAATATGATTCTTATCACTCATGTCGTTTTAGTAGCTTAGAGCTCAGCAAAGTAATGGTTCACTTAATTCCAGTATGATAAGATGCGAACAGGGATATATACGAATGAATGGAAGTTCCTTTCGCTTCGCTTCCGATGTGTAAATACCACTATGTATTATCAGACCCTTGATTATATGTACCCTAGATACCGTACTAACTGCACGGAAGCAGCAAAAAAAATATCTACTACATATGGTAGATATTCTCGTCGTTACAAACGCACACATTGACCGCTTTAGTCCAATCTGACATTTGAGTTTTCTTTGCGTGGTTTATTTGGATTGCACTATCTGGGCGTATAAATCATCAAAATGGTAGACCATCAGAAATCAATATGTTTTTATTCAAATTGGATGTATAGTACAACTCTTTTTTGGCGTTCAAATTTATTTTCCCAACCACTCGTTATTGGGCAAATTTATTAGCTGCGGATAAAAACGAGCTAAAAAAGCTCGAAAACATTAAAAGTATAATGTAACAACATTAACAAATCATTATGTTATTATCATCAAATGTGTACGTACATACAAGATCGCTCGAAGTTACTTAGCTTCCAATGTATACTATAAATAGTTACACATCCTCTTGGCTGGGAAGGCTTCATCGTTTAGTCATAGCTCAGGTCTTATTTTTATCATTATCGTTTATCGCGTTGTTCGTCTACAAGCGTCGACAGATGTCCTACCACTTTCTCCTGGGATATTTACATCTAACGTACATATTACATCATGGCAGCTATGCAAATCTGGCATTGATTTAAATTTCTTATCAACAATGTAGATTCGAGTAATTTTACGATTGCACCGATGCTTATAATAAGCGCAGTATAATGAGGTCATACTTAAATAAAACTAGTTTTAACGTGTTAATGCACGAATTTTATTTATTTATTGACGTTTCGCACCCTTTTTAGGTCTGCATCGTCAGAAACGTCAATAAATAAATAAAGTTCGTGCATTAACCCGTTAAAACTGGTTTTATTTAATGAGTGATGTGCGTGAAAACCTAAGAAACAAACGAGTTCATACTTACTGTAAATCAAGGGCTCATAAATGAACTCAACCTCGTATTAAGTATTTCATTCATTTGTTGCTCTACCATTTGTTGCCTTAATGTGTGAGTATACAAATAAAATGAAATGTTAACAGTATTCAAAATAAAAAAGCAGTAAAATCACAAACAAGAGATTGTATTTTTATGTGTATTTTTCTGAGGATCATAAGTTATGTATTGTGAAAGTTACTCTGTCGGAATGTTCGTATGTTACGCTCTCACTTCTTTTTGTTTATGACAATGAAAGGGATCTTGGAAGAAAATAAAATTCATTTACTATTTGTCACCAAAAAATCAGATTTTTCATGCGGTGATATTAAGACTAGCCGTTTCTCTGTGGATCATGGAACAAGAATTTCGCTATGATTATCAAGGCAAACCAAACAGTCACGGAACATTTAAAAAATGAATTCTCCAAATATTTGCGTCAAGTGACTTAATACTTCTCTTTGCCTTCTTTTCAGATATGTTCGGAGGGCGGTGCTCACAGCGGGACCCTAACGTGGACGCTTGCCTACTCCGCAGCTTCAATAACCTGCTGGAATACCTCAAGGGAGGGGCACCGGAATTCGACATAGAGGAGGTTAGTGGAAAATGTCACGAGCCAGATTACTTACAACCACAATCCGCACGGAGAGCCCGCGTACTGGGTAATACCCCTTTATTCCTATGCCATCCATAGGGAAGCCATGTGCCCCAGCAGTGGGGATTTTAACAGGCAGGATAATGAAATTATTATTATTATTTTCATTCAAGGCCTAACAAATTACCAAGGTCAATCAACCTAATGTTCAGTGTGTCTAAATCGAGTCTTGATGCGAAGATAAAACTAGAAACGGTGCTACTCCTGTCACTCTCATGTTGTCTGACTAAACCGTCTTTTCACGTGGACTTCTCTTCCCCATAAATTTTTAGTAACCACACTCAACACAGGACAGCGTTATTCCCAATACATACTGTACAAATAAAAATGATGTGGTGTCGTGGGACACCAGGTAGGAACGAAGTTCCTTCAGCTAATGTAGAATCGACACAAATTGCAAACTCGCTTGTGTATGCGACTGTCGCGCTGCGCACGTCTCATTTAACGGTTTTATCGCTCTACCACCCCCTATAACTTCACACATATTCAGTGTTGGTGTAATATCACAATATTTCAGTGATGCACCCTCGTCACTCTACCACCCCCTATAACTTCACACATATTCAGTGTTGGTGTAATATCACAATATTTCAGTGATGCACCCTTGTCGCTCTACCACCCCCTATAACTTCACACATATTCACTGTTGGTGTAGTATCACAATATTTCAGTGATGCACCCTCGTCGCTCTACCACTCCCTATAACTTCACATATATTCAATGTTGGTGTAATATCACAACATTTCAGTGATGCACTCTTGTCGCTCTACCACCCCCTATAACTTCACACATATTCACTGTTGGTGTAGTATCAAAATATTTCAGTGATGCACCCTCGTCGCTCTACCACTCCCTATAACTTCACACATATTCAGTGTTGGTGTAATATCACAATATTTCAGTGATGCATCCTCGTCGCTCTCTCTCCTGCCGTAAGGAACTTCGTCGCGCCTGCGCACGTCTCATTTAACGGTTTTATTCCACGCATTTTTTCTTACGGTTTTACTTTCACATTTTTTTCAGTTCGGTCGCGCAGCAAAATCCCTATCCCCTCCAAGCCTGCCGTAAGGAACTTTCGTACCAAAAATAGCTGAAATTTATTGTAAGAGGGTTTCCTAGAAGTAGATTTACCTAACATACCAAATGGACCCAATGCATATTGGCAGGTGGTTTAAAGTGTCTTCCGGAGAACCAAACTCAAAACACCATTGTGGCATTACTTATCTGTATTTTGAGTAAAAAATAAATGGACTAGGATCATGTGGGGAGCAGTGTAACAAGAACACTATGTAACAAAAGGAATATCTCCTGTATTACACTTTTAGACGTCTAATGACAGCTGCTTAAGAAAATAATAAAACCGCGTCAAGACCATGAACAAATAAGAAAAGGGTAGAGATTCCATATGTTACACTGTACCACTTGTAACACTGCCTTGACCATAACTTAATATGTATAATAAAACCGCGTCAAGACAGACCATGAACAAATAAGAAAAGGGTAGAGATTCCATATGTTACACTGTACCACTTGTAACACTTCATGTAATAGGAATCTTAATGTTTGCTTGCAGTCGGAACCGATTGTGATAGATGAGTTATCTATCGCTCTGGGCGGTGGTCCCGACGGGTACCGAGCCACATTCAAGGACATCCAGGCCACAGGCGCTTCCAACATGACCATCACCAACGTTAGGTAAGAAACAGCTTCGATAAAAAAGCATTTAACGCTACTTAAATATTTCTTTTTTAAACAGAGAACTATAAGGCCATAGCGGAATTTCCTGGCAGTATTCTGCTTCTAGGAATTTACCGCCGTCTTACGAAAACCACAATAATATATTACTACTTGTTGATGCTGTTTATTTCTGTTGTTCAGTAAAGAGCTCTACGCACTATCCATCTTGATGATCATGCAGGACAGCGCTATAAGTACTTATTCGTAGAAGGGATCCTGTATCTTCATCTCTTTTTTGTTTATTATCTTTTTATCTAGTGTCAATTTATTAATTATTAATTCAAGCTTTATTGTTCACTATAAATATAGAATAATTATTTCGAGTAATGTTCAGAAAACAGAAACCGTCAGATTTAGTTCTATGTATGGTTCTGAAGTTTAAACGGCGCGGCGGCCTTATCGCAAGACCAGATTTTTCTGACTATTGTAGAATAAGCTGTAAATGATGTTATTTCTTAATGAATCATCTTTATATATATAATACAACATAAAATCATTACGCTAACTTATTAATATCTCTTCTGCTGGGGCAGTGACCCACGACGCATGTCCAGTGCGCTAAAAGAAGACAACAAAAAGTTTATAACTAATCCATTATACGTTTAACTTTTACTTCTGATCCCGCAGCTCATTGGACATAATCTATCATCATTACTATATCGTTTCATGAACAATACACTCAGGAGCTCGATGGCACGGGTGGTTAGCGCGTTCGGCTGCGATCGTTGAAGTTAAGCAACTTTCGCAGTGGTCGGTCATTGGATGGGTGACCAAAAATCTTCTATCTCTAGTTCCTCCGTGCATCGGAAGGTACGTTAAGCCGTTGGTCCCGGCTGCATCTGCAGTCGTTAGCACCCGCCAATCCGCCCGCGTGGTGGGTCATGGCCCAATCTCCCTATTCCATCCATAGGGAAGGCCTGTGCCCCAGCAGTGGGGACATTAATAGGCTGATAATGATGATGAACAATACACAAAAGCGTTCAACTAAAATGATGTAATTATCAATCACTCATTGTAATTTACTCGCGTCTTTTGTTTATTAAATTTTTATCTAATATTCACGGAACTCGCGATAATATATTCCGAGCACGTATCGGTGACAAAGGATGCCTCCTTTGTCGAACACCGACCGGGGTTAAAGGCTCCTATGCGATGAGACATCTTAACAGTTATTTACTCGTCATCGTCAAACACCTGCCTTAGTACGCGCAAACATTAATCATAAAAATATTCCTATCGCATTCAGGTTCCTTCGCCTTGGTAGGTAGGTAGTTAGTTGATTTTATTAATCTTTCTTTACCCTTGACATGAAAATCTTGACATTGCTTGCTTGGCTCGCCTCCTCGTAAAAGACATCGATTACAAATAACAATAGACTCCCAATTATAACTGAATAATTGAGGTCATATCCAACGCTGTAGGTCTGATAAATTACTGTTTATCTACTCAAGAATATCAAAAAGATTTTCTCTACTTATTCCTTAAGAATGCAGTTTCTGTTTACAAGATTTACAAGTAGATAATAACTGGTGGAAATAATAAATAACACTTTACTTTCGAAGTTTTATAGAAGCACTTTACAACTTTTAGAAATCACCGGTGCGTTCAGTCTACGATCATAAAAGTTAAAATCAATGGAAAGAATAAAGCCTGTGAATTTTTATTTTAAAGAATTATGACTACTGCAGGTGTTGTGGCTGTGAATTTTTATTTTAAAGAATTATGACTAATGTAACTTTTTCGTAACCTAACGCTATTAATTGCGTAAATTAATTAAAGTATTCAGTTATTGCTGGCAATCCTTCAGTCTGATTTTCTCCTCTGGTCAATTCTCAACTATGTATTCAGCGAAGAAAATGCACCAAGAAACTTTTTCCTTCCTGTATTACGGAATTTTGTTTATCTACTCTTGGCCTTTGCTAGAGTCACTAGATTATTGCTCAACACTGAGCGTCCCGTAAAGCTCGGACTTAGCCTAGACTTACCAGTTTCAGCTAAACATATTCGGGCCGTAATCAGCGAACAAAATGTATACTTATCAAGAAACTTTTCCCTGTATTTTCTGTGTCGGGCGTAATTGAATTTCCGTCAAGCTATCATGGCCTTTGCTAGAGCAATTAGATTATTGTTCAACAATGAGCGTTTCTGATCTATGTATATTTAATTGCTTTCTGTGAAGGTCGGACTTGTAGACGCACCAATTCCAGCGGACCATTCTCGGGCCACAATCAGAAACTTTTTTTTCCAATCTTTTTTGTGTCTGATGTGACGGAATTTTCATTAACTGGTCCAATAAGGTATAAAATTTGATTGTAGGACGAGATGCGTTGATTTTTACTCTCTTTACAGAATAACTATCAAGTAATAATACCTTATGTGAGTAAGAACCATAAGAATGTAGTAATTCAACACTGTACTTTCTGAACTGTTTATATTCAATTGCTTTCTGTGATAGTCGGACTTGGAGACGCACCAGTTCCTAGGGTTGCCAGATGCTTGCTTATCAATTCCGGGACATTTGGCCATCCCCCTGAAAAAATAAGGCAACAAGAATTAAAACAACAAGCAGGTGTCGTTCGTTATTAGTTTATTTTGTTACGAAACTAGCACATTATCGGAATCCGGGACAATAAGGTATTATTACTGGATACGGTACAACGCGCAAAATTCCGGGACAGTCCCGGAAATCCCGGCCATCTGGCAACCCTAATTCCAGCAGGCCATTTTCGGGCCACAAGCAACGAACAAAATGCCCCAAGGAACTTTTTTCTTCCTGTCTTTTATATGTTTGACATAACGGAATTACCGTTAACTGGTGTTAGATAAACAGAGCGTTTCCGATCTGCCGACCCATTTGCTAACTTTTTTGACATGTTCAGTTTGTCACCAAAGAGAAAATTGCATATCCATCGATGCTTTCCAGAACAATTATCTTCGTGGCGTTATAATCAAGCAGTAGTGGATCACTACATAGCTCAGTGATTATTCCATCCATCTGTCAAAAGCAGTTAGCGAATTGGCCTAATGGGGATCGATTTTACTAAGTTAAAGTCATGGTTAAAGTAATAATTCGTGTATCAATAGTATTTCAGTAGTTTTGATTTTTGACACAGTTGTTGTTATTTAAGCTCATAATCACCAATATATTTGCTTACTCACAGGTCATAGTTATCTTTATGCATTTAATTATAACGTTTTAGTAACAAGAACTGTTTCAAAAAGCGATTAGACGACTTCCTGACCGAGTGGTATGTACGCCGGGTTTCATGGTGTCGCCGATTTGAGAGATCCCGGGTTCGAATCCCGGTAGAGGCAGATGTTTGTGTGATGAATACGAGCATTTGTACTCCAGTCATGAAAGTAATATGTATTTCTATATAAATATATATATACAGTATATGTACTCTATCCATTACCCTAGCATCCCATAACACAAGCCTTACAGTGCTTACTTTGGGGTTAGGGTAATTGGTGTTGGATTGAGTGTTGGATATATACATATACTATTTATTGAACCACTACTGAGAAACGCTTTCTACGTTGGCTTAGAATCAACACCCGGCTTATATTCCATTGCTTTCTGTAAAGGTCGGACTTGGAGTCCCACCAATTCCAGCTGACCATGTTCGGCCCGCACATCAGCGCGCGCGCCCGGTACCGCTCCTCGGGCGTATTGCTGCTGGTGCGAGCCTCCGGTGGCGGCGACTACTGGGGCGAATATGGTGCGTATTATTGACTGCTGCATGAATATGCTGCGTATTGTTGTTTTTATGTGAAACGGGTGGCGTTATTGCCAAAATAAACATTAACTTGCAACGTTAGCCGCCGTCCTAATTGGTAACGAGCGTACAATGACATGATGCAATCTCATCATGCTATGAAAATAATGTACCTGTGCTTGTACGATGGCTTACGAAGCTGTATTTGCACACTTCTGAAGATATCTTTATGTTGGAACTCATCGCACGACGAGATCTCATCGTTCAATCGTTGCCAATTAGGACGACGCCTTAATCGTTTCGATTTAAAGTTAAAATTCGTTACCGGATTTTTACATTTAAAAGAAGCCTGATCTATGTATGGGCACTATTTACTACTCATGTGGTATGGCTCAAAAAATATAAACTAAACCAACCGACTTTAAAATCGAAAATTAAAACTAAAAGCAAAAAATTATAACCGACTTATTTTTGGCATACTTTTTTGGTTTTACTTTTTTGTTTAAAGATAGTATTTATTTCATCCATTTTAGCGTAAAGTATACAAAAAGACTAGTCAGACTGTCAGACACTAGTATGATATACTGCCCTGAGCTATGTATCGTGAAAAATAAAATGCTCATAAAATGAAAACTACTGGGTCAAACTAAATTAAATATTCATGTGACCATATAGCCCGTATCTCCCATCGAACACGGAAATAATCACTCGAATCGGATCAGAAATCTTTACGTAATCGGTAAACAAAGTATCGTGAAAATTATATCGTTCAAGTCCGAAAGCTGCTAAGTCGAACTGAATCAAATTTTTATGGTACCAAATGGCAACTATTCCGCCGTGGACAAGAAAATAATCACGTAAATTAAATCAGAAATATCTGCGTATTATGTGAACAAACTTAAAAATATACCAGTCGAATGGGAACCTCCTCCTTTATTAAGTCGGTTAAAAATAGTCCGAAGTTTTTGGTATGAATATTTAAAATAGAAGCAAAGTAACCACGAACTTCGGCCGGTTCTCGTTTATTGTTTTGGTAGTGGGTCCTACAACATACAGTTTTACATGGATCTCTCACCTTTAGGGACAGTGTTCATGTCGATACTCCTGTTTTATCATTGACCTCAGAATGTCTCTCCCACTCCTGTGCGACGTAGCTTCGCGTGGCTTTGGTGGTAAAATGCGGTAAAATCGGGTTCGACATTTAATGTAACGTAATGAGTTAGTGGGCTGCGTGTCTTTAGACGCTAGACTATAGCTTGACTGGCGATAATTTAACACGGTAAAAGAGGTTGTGGCAAACGACAAATTTGTATGTGCAGGAGCGTACTTAATTCAAAGTTGAAACGCTAGTATAGCTCATTTTAGTGCCAAAGCCATCCGAAGCTTCATCACGCATATGTGGGATAAGACCTGGAATTACTAAGCATTGTATCGTTTGTCATCAACAGATGGCGTAAAGGCGAAGGTTTATTTCCGCGGGGTGCCGTACGACCGCGACGGCAGGACTTACCTGAAGCTGCAACAACTCAAGCTGGACTTCTCAGTCAGAGATATCCAGATGGGAGTCGAGAATCTTCACAACAGCAATGCCGTCTTACGTGAGTCCTTGGATGATCTATCTCACGCAGTTAACTGATAAAACAAATCCGATTAATGTTATATTTTGTAAACATGAATCAACTATACGTAAAAAAACAGTACAAAGCTAATGTTTTAAAATATTAACCAACACATTAAAGCCACTAGACGTGGCACGCTTATTTTCATCATCAGCAGGGCCGAGTTTAAAGCTGGGCAGGTGAGAGGGGTCCGTATAACAGAGAAAAATAATTACCAATTTTCGAAATCTTAAATGGCCCGGGTGACAGACAGGTTTTAAAATACACTCCACTTGTCTGATGCCTGGTCCGCGTGGATATTTTGTAGTAATATTTTCTTCAGAATTAAACTTCGAGCAGTTACATGCTTAAAAAAATAAAAATTATAACTACACTCCACTTCTTTGTTGTCCCATACTAAATGCGGCCCTGATCATCGTGTAATTTGTCTAGTAATTTTCGTTGTTGTATCCCTATGAACAGAACTATACGATCCACTTTGCCCCAGTGCTAACAACTAGAAATTCTGGCGAGAACAAGAGCTTACCATACCCTTCAAAGCAGGAAAGTGCTCGTGTTAATAAAATGTTGGTCACCAATCGGGAAGGCCATTGCGGAAGTTACTTAGCTTCCACAGTCACTGATCCATCATGCTTAATTTAATATATTATCTGTACAAGCACCAACAAGTAACGAGAAAATATTCGTATCGTCATGTCAAAGGTTCTATGGAAAAATTTTGTATGTTCTCACGCCCGGTAGAGGTGCTGCTTAGTTTCCATAAAACCTTAACGTTGGCGATACGAATACAGTACCCTTAGCACGAACCATTATCGAATTCTCGATTATATTTTAGTTCTCGTTACGTCCAATACAGCGGTGCTGTTCAAGTTTTCATTCAAAATTTGGCATTGACATTAAGAGTACAGTACCCGTAGTACGAGTTTGCGCTCACGAAAACTATCATAGTTTTCGTAATTGTAAATTATGTTTCTATGTCCATTTTGGTGAAAAGTAACCAAATATACCTAAAATTTAAGAAGACGCAAATGATTTAATGATAGAATTTAAACACTGTTTATTTGTACTGAAACGAAAAAAAAATATCAACGAGTGCGAGTTCACGAAAACTATCATAGTTTTCGTAATTGTAAAACTCGTACTAAGGGTACCGTACCCCTAGCACGAACCATTATCGAATTCGAATAGTTTGCGAGTGCGAAATGTCATTGTCAAATGTGTACTGATTTTTGGTTCTCGTTACGTACTTTGTGGCGCTGCTGTTCGTTTCCCTAAAAATTGACATTGACATTTCCAATACATCCAATACAGCGGTGCTGTTCAAGTTTTCATTCAAAATTTGGCATTGACATTAAGAGTACAGTACCCGTAGTACGAGTTTGCGCTCACGAAAACTATCATAGTTTTCGTAATTGTAAATTATGTTTCTATGTCCATTTTGGTGAAAAGTAACCAAATATACCTAAAATTTAAGAAGACGCAAATGATTTAATGATAGAATTTAAACACTGTTTATTTGTACTGAAACGAAAAAAAAATATCAACGAGTGCGAGTTCACGAAAACTATCATAGTTTTCGTAATTGTAAAACTCGTACTAAGGGTACCGTACCCCTAGCACGAACCATTATCGAATTCGAATAGTTTGCGAGTGCGAAATGTCATTGTCAAATGTGTACTGATTTTTGGTTCTCGTTACGTACTTTGTGGCGCTGCTGTTCGTTTCCCTAAAAATTGACATTGACATTTCGCAGTCGCAAACTATTCGAATTCGATAATGGTTCGTGCTAGGGGTACTGTACTCTTAGCATGAACCAATATCGAATTCGAATAGTTTGCGAGTGCGAAATGTCATTGTCAAATGTATATACTGATCATTAGTTTTCGTTACGTTAGTTATAACGCTGCTGTTCAAGTTTTCATACAAAAGGACAATGTTAAAAAATTGGCCTAAGAACCAACACCAATTTGGCATTTATGATAATTCTTAGTATATTTTTTGTGATAATTATTAGTATTTAGATTGTGACGGACACTTCCAGTTAAGTAAGCTAAATTAAAAAGTTAAAAAATAATCTGAGACAATAAATACCATTTTATGTGTATAATCTATGGCAGCGCTGCTAAACAAAACACTCTTTCTTCCTAATGCCGGCACTTCACTTGGCTATTCGTATTTGCTATTTTAAAACATGACATCAGTCTGTCCTTTTCTTTCCTTATTAAGCATGACAAGGACAAACTTTTGTCAAGTGAAGGGCCGGCATAAAACTTGTTACTCTGTGGTTGTGGTGCATGCAGTTTCATAGTAATCTGTGGCATTCGTGCATTCCAAAAAGTAGTTTATTAAACCGGAAAATGCATTCTCGTTTCGGATTACCTGTTGTGTGTGTTTATTTGCGATTGTTTTTCCTTTAATTTAACTATTTCGGCTATCTAATATGCCATCGATGTTACCAAAGAGCAGAGCCCTTATTACCAAGTGCTAGTGAACCTGTGCCACAACATCCTGAGAGGATCATACTGCCAAATTATTCAAGAACACTCACGAACACGAACATTCACGCTGCATATTTACACAATATACATGTGATATACAAATAAATACAATAAACAATATGATACAATTACGTGAAAAATAGTCAATAAATAAGAAGCAAAACTACAGTTTTTATTTTATTCATGATTCCTACCTAACCAAGTTTTTCCTAATAGTTATTCTTTAAAATCGCACCGAATAAAATGAATTAGTTGCTATATTAATTCACTTCATACTGAGTTCATACTAAATTCATAGGTTGACCTATGTTTCATTGAATATTAAACATAACCTCAAAAAAAATTTAGTTTTCCTAATAATTTCAGTTCTCAGAAGTGTCCGTCAATAATCTTTGTTTTTATAGTCATTTTCTTACGATTTTGAACCTAGATAATAATATTTCATGATTGTTGGTTCTTAGGCTAACTATGTATGAACGCTGAACAATGTCCTTTAACAATGACATTTCGCACTCGCAAATAATTCGAATTTGATATTGGTTCGTGCTAAGAGTCGGATTTGTCATCTTAAAATTTCACTCTCATATTTTTTTCATAACGCGGCTAAAGAAGTATAACTTCAAAAGTATAACTTCAAAAACACTTATTAAAAAAGCTTATTACAAAGTGTCTGATTATATTACAGACAAAAATGCTTGGGTTTGAACTGTTCCAATCATTCCAACAGGTTTTCTACATTAAATAAATCATAATTGTATTGACGTTATAACAACATAAAGATTTGAAAATGTTGTTACATTAGACTTTTAATGTCGTGGAGTTTCTTTCGCTCGTTTTTCTCCGCAGCAAAAAAATATGTCCATAACGAGTGGTAGGGAAAAAAAATTTTGGACGATTCAAAAGAGTTGTACTATACATCCAATTTGAATAAAGATGTATTGAATTCTGATTTCTCAGCATGCGTTGATTAAAAAAAATAATTACGAAATTTTTTTTTTCAGTCATATATCTAAATCGTTGTCTGAATTCGCTAGTAAATTCTCACAGGTAGCTCAAATAAAGTTCAATACTTATTGTACAGAGGCAGCGCTAAACCTGTTCATCAATAGCAACGCGCAAGAGCTCCTCAAGGAGATGAAACCACAGCTTAAGCAAGACCTGGCGAGCAAGATGTCGCGCTTCCTCGAGAGAATCCTGCAGCACATTCCGTACGACGAATGGATCGTCGATTAATTTAACACGAAGTATAGGTAGAGTCTGTGTAGAAAGAGAATGGGCGTGTCGAAAAACGGAACTAACATTAAGATTTTTTATGGCAATCCAACCCAGCCATCTCTAAAACGTCAAACTTTTGTATTGATACGAATTTGTTGGTTGTTGTGATTTCTTGCGGTTTTTTGTATTTAACAATGTTTAAAAGGGGTAAACCCTTACAAATACGGTAGAAAAGCACTACTGTGCCCTCAAATCTAAATCCTTCTTTCCGCACAGACTCTAGCTGCGAACTTCTTGAGCAAAACCGCAGACAAACAAACTTGCGCAGTAAACGTTTTTATATGTAAAATTACTACTGCTCAGGCTTTCTTGTCTATGGTCCTTGCACAAAAGGTCTGCCGGGGAGTATATGTTACAGTTCGTCCGATATTTCGTCGCCTATCTGCAGTGCGATTCTCATAAATATAAGAACAAACACACTTTTTAACTCTTAATCTGCGTTGAAGTGAGTATATTCTAATCTTACACAATAGCAGAGTCGAATAATATTCATTAAATAAGTAGATTCAATTTCTTGGTTCCTGGAAATCTTGTTAAATGAGTTAATTTAATTTTGTTAAATGAGTAACAAAATTAAATTAAGTACGTTAATCAATGGCCTGAGGATGAATAATCAGCCTGAGGAAATTCCGTCAATTATTTTTAATTTAGGACGACACTGATATCTCATCAAAAGTTAACATCACAAAATTCGTAAACCCTGTGGGCTTATAGTAAGGACTGAAAAAATGTTACAAAGAATTTGGTTAATAACAAGCTAACGATAAGTCAAAAACTTCACAAGCAACATTGTTTACTCAAATTACTTTATTACAGCTCAACTTAGATCGCTAAAACTTCATTGAATATTTAATAGTAATATCACATCTCCAAAAATGGTTTTCAATTAAATAAAATCCATATTACTACATTTACACGTGTATTAAAATTTTGGTTAATGATTAAGACTTTTTCAAATTAATTATTTTATTATGAACACTGACAAATAAATACGTAATTAAGTAGAGACACTGCTCAAAAATAATTAGAACAAATAACAAGAAACAATTACTCATAAGTAGCAATAAGTTATTTATTTACACAAAAGGAAATTATTGGAGTCAACAAAAATCTGTTCTGTCTGTATATTGCGAAATGCATTAGTATTATAAATAAAATAGTGATAAGCTTAGAATAATAGTAAACTAAGTGAAGTTTGTAAAAAAACTTTGAAAATAAATTTTAAGTAAACGAATTCTGTGTTGTTACTGAAGTGTACAAAAAAAAGCCTAGCTAAATGTATAAAAATCACACTCAGAGAACATCAAACCTGGTGACGCTGTAAAGGTCATCTGTGACCAACAGCATACACACTCAAAAAAAAACAAGTCAATTATCTTTAAAGTTTGGTTAAAGCTGATGCTGTATTTTTCTGTGCTATCACGAAAGAAAAAGACAACCCATTACTTTGACGACTTTTTACTTTGAGCTTCTACTTTAATCGACGTCTGACTGAGTAAAGCTTCTAACGTCACTATTCACTTAAAGGAATAAAATTATTATATACTTATTAGTCTACAAAAAATGTAAGTTAAAGCCCAACTAAAGTATTAAAACCTCGCTTGAAAGGGCTTTTTTAATTATTATTTATTAATAATTTGACCCTAGAATCGAAGAAGCCTTTAGGTTACGGAAGATTTATTAAATAACACTGCCCATCTCTATTCGAAGATTAAGATTCCAGAGCTCCACGAGGTAGGAATAGAGTTAGCCTACAGTGGCGTATTTTGAAATCCGGCGCCCTGGGCTATTTATGAGCTGCACCCCTAGAATTAATAAATGTCCCAAAAATATAATATATGTCAGGAAAATATATTTTGACACTTTAATCCATTCATTAGGCCCTCGAAAAATTTTTATGCTTGCTTACTCGCAGTCTGCATATAAGTAAGGAAATTCCTCAGTGATTTTTAAGGATATCAAACAAATTCATCTAATTCCTATTAACACTGACCACGTTCTCCGTAGAGCTCTACCAAACTGAACATCTAACTCGAGAAATCAAATATATATATTACCACACAGATATTTTTGTGGTAGTTTTTTCTGGTGGTTTAACTTATTAATCAATCTTGTTTTACCAACAGGTAAAAAATTCCTAATGATCAATCTAATCAACTTGATGGCCACATGTTAGTTGAGTTAGTCCGAGAAGAGAAAATATTACTTAAGTAATTTCTCATTTTTTTTTTTCTCTCAGTAGTTCCTTATCAATGGCCGATCAAACGTGCTTTTGCAATTTTTACATAATGAAATTAGTATTGGTCATTTTCTTGTTAGTAGAACGACTAGGAAAATTTTTCAAAACTGACGAACTACTTTTACCTCATTTATTTGACTATAATGACGGCACTTAGCTATTTGTGAACTTGATATCATCATCAGCTTATTAATGTCCCCACTTCTGGGGCACAGGCCTTCCCTATGGATGGAATAGGGAGATTGGGCCATGACTAGGGTTGCCACCCGTACTTTATTATAAAGTATTGTATGTTATTTCGGGTAATTGTGCTCTATACTTTATGCCAACAATAAAGTACGCGAAAATACTTTATTTAATGTGATTTGATTACACGGGGATTAATTTTACATAAATATTTTACAAAAAGAGGTTGATAAGAAGAATTTTTGAATTAAACAGACAGACAGCATGAATATGTCGCCCTTAGCTAATTTCTGCAACATTTTCGTGGCTGTATGGCTTTTTAATATGACCTTTCCCATTGCGGAAAAGAACTACAGATTTTAAGAAGCCACAAATTATTTATTAAAAGTTGCTAGTAGCAACGTAAAATATATTTTTAAGCTTACTGATAAAGAGGAATAGAAAGTACTTTATTTTGGACACAATGTACTTTCTTTTTCTACCTTTATTATCCAATGTACTTTATTTGGACAAAAAAAAGGTAGCAACCCTAGCCATGACCCACCCCGCGGGCCCAGTACGAATGAGGGCTATCGCGTATGAATCCGCCGCTAGAGGTGCTAGTGTAGCGTGAGGTCTCCGAAATGTCAAATGTTATTGCTTGTTGGTTGTCTACGCGGGTTTATTTCTTATTAAAATAATGTTGTGAATAATTGGTAACAATTCGGCTTAATTATGGCAAATTTGAGTTATGTGGCAATGAATGTCAGTTATTAAAAATTTGAGCTTAGAAAAATGATTATGTTCCCATTTTTTCCGAATAAAACGGAACTGGGCGTCACTGTGGCATGGCCTATTATGTTTAGGATATGGTTCTTTTGTGTTAAAATACGATCTAAATGTAACCTTTGATTTCATGTGCGTATTAATAAACTTTAAAAGTTACAATTTAGGACCTCACTCAACTGTGGCGCCATCTAGTGAGACAGAAAACGGTAGCCCTCATTGGCGGGTGCTAACGACTGCAGATGCAGCCGGGACCAACGGCTTAACATGCCTTCCGAAGCATGGAGATTCGAGATAGAAGATTTTTGGTCACCCATCCAATGACCAATCACTGCGAAAGTTGCTTAACTTCAATGATTGCAGCCGAACGCGCTAACCACCCGCGCCATCGAACTCCTCGACTCGTGAACTTGACAACAGCTTACAAATAGCAAACACGTATAGCCAAGTGAAGTGCAGGTATCCTTCTTCCTATAGGCGCTTCAATCCAAAGATCCTTAGAGCTCTTCAAGTGGACCTACAGTCGAGTGTAATCCAGACGTAAAAAAAACTGATGAAGTAGAAAAAGGTACAGCAATAAAAGTTACTGTGAAGACATAAAATACAGAAGTGACTTTTCTACGCATGATAACTCTGATATAAATTATATGTAGCTATACAGAATATATGTATGCACATAATACTGGGAGAAAAACATCAGCCCTTGTTGAGTTTTTTGTCGGGTCTTCTCAGTACAAGGTCTCCCGCTGCGCCGTAGATTTGCGAACTGATGCACGCAATCATATTATAAGAGCCTGTAACAGCCAGCCTAACAAATTGAATAAACGATATTGAGATTGATATCCACCCCCTCACTTTGCAAGTCTACAAGTTCTTGTTAACAGAAACACGTGAGAAAGAAAAGCTTAGAACTATATCAGTTTTTTGAAGTTATACTTCTTTAGGCGCGTTATGAAAAAATGATGAGAGTGAAATTTTAAGATGCGCGCGCAATAGGAGTGGGCGATACAAATCGTATATAGATGTTGAAACGTATATTGCATCAATATCGTCAAATCCGATATCAATGCATTCTGAAACTATATATTTTGGCAAAACATTACATTGCATTGGGAATGTGATACGTGTTGACAGTACTGTATCGTATATAGACTGTTTAAAGTATATTGAACCGTATCACAATGAAATATGAGCGCGACCAAACCCAAGTGGGAATTGAGGGAGAGCGCATGATAAGATGAGAGTGAAACAGCAATAGTTACGATGCAACGCATACTGCAATGTTTCACTTCATTTTCATCGTAATAAAATAGTTTATACACTTCTTTTGTTAATATTTTTGTTGATTAAATCGTTAACCTTATTTCTTAGGGAATAATGGAGAGCTTTGACACAATTTAATTTCTACTCTCGTTGAACTCTATCCTTCAACCCTAGCAAAAGAAATTTGGTGCGGATTTGAATTTTTATCATTTCGTAGATTCGAACGTCCAAACACGTTCAATTAAATTGCATTAGCGTATTATTTTGTATTGTTGGTGTATTATTTATCTACCGGTTTTTTATGTTTAGTTTATTATCTATATTTTTAACAAACATTCCTGTAAAAACAGATCATCTTAATTACTCCCTTAAATACATGGATAAATACTGCATTATCTAACTCCTAGTCCTACCTGATATTGATGTATCTAAAACTCACATAACGTTATTATACGTTATGTATCAGTACCAGGAAAATATAGTTTTCCATTCCATTGTTATCCTGTAATGATATATGATTGATATGGTCGTCAGCGATATCACTGATATCAAAATATATAGTTTCAGAATCCGATATCGAATATCGATATATAGTTTCGATTTGATTCAGACAAAAAGCTATATTACCCACCTCTAGCGCGCAATGCCCATCAACTGTAACACAAAAATTAACAGCATGAAGTTCTTCGTGCTGTTACTTTTGTGTTTACCGCACATTAAGAAAATCTACCAACAAAATAGAAATAGAATCTCTATTTAGTGGGTGCTAACAACTGCATTGTGAAGGCCTATCAAAAGTATTTATTAATCTGGAACAACGGAACCAAAGCGCGATTCAGGAGACTATAGCGCCATCTCTTGACCATTGGTGTTAGTGGTGGGCGTTTCAAACTGTAACTAGTTTTTGAACCCGCTATCGGTTCAGTAGCAGCTTTTGCGTTTTGATTGTCAAATGAAACTATCTATTACCAATAGCATGTTCTTCTCCGAACACATTGAAGTTGTCAGTTTTTGAATACAAAGTCTCACAGTAAGGCTACATTTTATTTTAGTAGTATCAGAAGCAGCTCTTTGGTTCGGAAACATTCGGATGATTTCGGGCTAACGGGTTTGTCAATCAATTCATTTTGAATTCGATCTGTCCAGGTCTTTTTGTTTTGACCACAACAGTTAAATTTAACTTGAGCGAGTGAGTGACGTACTTTAAATAGTTTTGTATATTAAAATTAGTGTATAAATAGTGTAAATAAATAAATTTATCTGTAAATAGTATTGAAAAAGTGCTAGTAGTGAACAAGAACAATGGAAAAATATGTTTTTAATTTACCATTTATCTATACACTACAATAATTTACAAAATTTTTTTCATTTACAATAATTTGCAGCCAGTCCTAAGCCTGAACAAAATATGAAGGGAAGTTCATCGATACTGTTCTTCAGAATCACCCCATAAGCCTTTAAAGATCAAAATCACGCCATATAACTAATAATAAGTTTAAAACCAAAAACCCGTAATCGCGTCTACGGTACTGAGTAACGAATATTGTTCAAATGCTATTAAAAAGCTGCTACTGAGAATAAATAGTTTTAAAAACTGCTACTGGTATTCTAAAACTGTTAACGTTTCGTTTCGCAAATAACCTGCTACTGCCCACTACTAATTGGTGTAGTAGAACCAAAAACCACATCTTTATTTTTTGTAATAAAGTAACAGTTATAGGTATTCATATTTATAATATCAAAAGTATTTATTAATCTGGAACAACGGAACCAAAGCGCGATTCAGGAGACTACAGCGCCATCTCTTGACCATTGGTGTAGTAGAACCAAAAACCACATCTTTATTTTTTGTAATAAAGTCACAGTTATAGGTATTCATATTTATAATATTTATCCACATGTTTCTAGTTTGTATATTCGGAATACTTGTTTGAGTTTCATACAAGTGCAAATCACATATGTTCTAATAAATTATATTCAGTAGCGA